TCAATGAGTATAAATTGGGTATGAAAATATAAGAATGGAAGTAACTGCAGAAGGCCTATTGGCCCATACTTCCTCTTGCTGCTTCAACGTTGGTTCGGAGTCTTGATGTGGGCAGAACATAGTTGTGTATTAATTGGCTGTTGATTGCTGGTGTTTACTTTTTGATGTTTAATGCCTCGCTGATATCGAGTCTCCTGCTATCACTGTATTTATCAATGATTTCTGTATTGCTTGTTAAGATTACCCTGGTGATGGTCTGGTTGTGAGAAGAGATTATATGTTCCTTGATGGAGCCCTCTTGTTTGTGCATAGTTAATCACCTAGAAAGAGACATTGTTGTCTTACCTATATACTGAGTTCTTTGGGGCTTACAGTCCCCAAGCGGGCATGTGAAGGCATAGACGACGTTGGTTTCCTTCAGGGCGTTCTTTTTGGTGTGTGGGAAGTTTTTAATGAGTAGGTTGGCCGTTTTTTTTGTTTTTGTAGTAAATTGTCAATTGCATCTTCTGATTTTTGTCTGTAGGGATAACGATCCTATTAGTAAAGTCTTTCAGAACCCTGTTCTCCGTTTTATGAGCCGTTGAAAAGAAGTTCCTGTAAAACAGTTCAATATTGGGTACAAGTGTTGTGTTAGTTGACTCTTCAGAGGTTGCATGACATTTCACCTTTCTTTTTATGATGTCTTCAACAAAACTGTTAGAGAAACCATTGTTGACTAGGACCTGCCTCACCCTATAGAGTACTTCATCGACTTGCTTCCATCCTGAGCTGTGGCTGAGAGCCCGGTTGACGTAAGTGTTGACAACACTCCTCTTGTACCTGCCTGGGCAGTCATTATTGGCAATGAGGCACATTCCTGTTTGTTTCCTTAGTGTAGACTGCAGTGTGGAGGCCTCCGTTCCTTTCCGTGCTAATACATGTAGAAAGAGCAGCTTCCCATCATTCTTCATCTCGTACATGAAACTCAACACAGAATTCTGCTCCAATGCCTCCTTCAGCTGCTGCAGACGTCTGACATCAGGTACCTGCATAAAAATGTCGTCAACATACCTGCAGTATATGGTGGGTTTCAAGTCCATGTCAACTAGGACCCTCTGCTCGATGGTACTCATGTAGAAGTTCGCAAACAGGACACCTAGACACCTAGGGGGAGAACCCATGGCGACCTAGCTTATACATGTGCCTATCTAGATTCAAGAAGGGTGCCTCTATAGTACAAGCTTGAAGTTGTTTCCTTAGTATGTTGGCTGGTATGTCAAGAGGAGTACAAGCCGGATCCCGATACACTCTATCCGTTATCATCCCGATTGTTTCATCCACAGGAACGTTGGTAAAATAGTGATTCTACACCCAACGAGGCTCTTATCCATGTGGCCCTTACTCCCCGCAATAAGTCAACAAATTCCTTTGGAGACTTCAGGCTGAAAACACAATGTACATAGGAGTCAGCAAGCAGTTGAGTGCTTAGATAGTCTGTATGTGGGTGTGGGTATCTGGCTGATGATTGATTGAAGTGGGTTTCCAGGCTTGTGCGTCTTGACATTCCCATACGCATAACCAGGTTTGTATTCCTTAATAATCTTTGGCAGGTGGTGTCCGGATTTCTTGGCGTTCACAGTTTCGATCAATCTGAATACCTTCGTTTTCAGTTCGGCTGTAGTGATCATTATGAAATCATTATGATTTCCCACTTTGTCAGAAGTCTTTGAGTCATCTGCAGATTTGATGATGTGGTTTTATAATATTCTCATCTATGTCATTAATGAAAATGACAAAAAGGGTTGGCCCCAAAATTAATCCCTAAGGCACCCCGCTCACCACATTTCTCCATTCAGATTCATTCCAATTTAGCACGATCAGTGAGCAGATTTATGCTGAGCTTTCTGCCTTTTTAGCAAATATGGGGAACATTTGCATATTTTCGTTAAAGAGGGGACTATTCTATGGTCTAGAGATTTTGTGAAAATTAATTTCAGTGATAGTCATAGTTCTTCTACTAGTTCCTTTATAACTCTTGATTGGATTTCATCCAAACGAGGGGTTTTTGAGTCTTTGTTTGTCAATGTTTTTATGAATATGTCGCATGTTATGGGTAAAACCCAAAATTCATTCCCCCTCACCTACTTCAAACATTTGTGTGGGTGATGGGATGTCATCTAACCTTTCTAGTATGAACACTGATGTAAAATATTAATTTAGAGCGTTTGCTGCCCTTTTGTCGTCCATTATAACTCGGTTAGTTTCATCTATTAAGAAGTCCTACGGGGTACTTTGTTTTTCTTCTACTTCTTATATAAACATAAAACGATTTTGTATCTTTCTTTATGTTTGTGGCAAGTTTTCTTTCGTAGTTTCTTTTGACTGATCTGATTTTCTGGGTAGCGAGTTTAGTGCCCTTTTTGTGTATCACATAATAATAATAATAATAATAAAATGATGTTCATCGTGGATTTATACGTTCAGCAGAGGTTCTGCTTGGTTATCAATGCTCATTTTACGTCCCGTGTCATTCATCTTGTTCCCTTTCTTTACTTTCTTCTTTTTGGCACATATTTTTGAACGATTTCTGTGATAATCCTCTTGAAATTTTGCCCTGATGTTTCCATGCCATGTTCGCCTATCAGCTCCCTCCAGGAGATGTTTCGCAGTTCTCTCATTCCTTGATGGTCTCTGCGATGGTAATCTAGAAATTCATTATGGTTTACCTTTATGTGGGTTTCTATATTCGTGGTCCACCTTAAAATATGGTGATCTCATGAGTGGGTTAGCTTTTCCTCCACCTGAATTTGATCAATGATGTCCTCTTCTAAAGTTAGCACAAGATTTAGAATGCTGCTACCTAATGTGGGCTCTACCACATGATGTATAAGAAAGTAGTCATGCACAAGGTCTAGAAATTGTTCTCCTTCTGGTTGTGATGTTAGATTTTCCCAATCTATGGTTTCATGGTTAAAGTCCCCTATTATTAGGGTTTCGGTTTCTGACGCAGCATTGATCACATTATGCAGATCCATAACTTCCTCTGCTGCTGCTGTGTCAGCCCTGTAGCATATTCCCACTGTCATTTTGCTTGCATCTTGAGTTAGTATGTTGCACCATACCGACTTTGAGGATCCCATGGTGTTCAGTTTCTCATTGTTGGCTGCATCTAGGTCCTCTTTCACTTGTAGCATTACCCCACCTGCTCTTGTTGTTCTGTCCTTTCTGAATGGTGGGTGGTATCCTGGGAGAAAGAATTTCCCCTCTATTATGTCCTCTCGGTCCCATGTTTCCCTGATGCCAATGATGTCAGGATTTTCAGCCTCAGCAAACGCACATAATGAGTCAAATTTATTCACTAGGCTTCTGGCATTTGTGTAAAAACAATTTAAACTCCTGATGCTGTTCCTGGGAAGGGCTGGGAGATTGCTCCCGTATTTATTTTTGTGGAGGCGGTCTTCTAGGGGCTAGTAGGACCGATCACGTGGTGAGACACAGATATGTTATATTATCAAAGACAGGAGCCCACCTTGAGCTGTAGTCTTCCGGTGAGATGGTGGAAGCGATGCTCGGCTTCTCGGGGGATATAGGATGGACGAGGTCCTCAATTCTGGCCAATATAGGGTAACCCAATTCGTAGGAGGGGCGGGGGTAGCAGGTCTACACGTGGTCCGGTGTGGTTCTCTACTGTCTCTCTCTCTCTCTGCCCCCAGGCATGCGCGGGAAGGTGCGCACAGTCATCTCGTCCGCCAATCAGGATCCCAGCTCTGCCTAAGATATACAATGCTCCCACTGGCGGGCACTTTGAATGTAGTTCCCTCCACATTACTCTACAAAGACTGAAGGTGAAGTCTTCTCTCTCTGGTTGGGATTTTTTTATTTCATTATTGCGTTTCCATTCTATCTCACTTCCTTTCTAATATATTCGTTCTGCTTGTGCTTCCTACTATTCTCCTGTTTTGCCATTATTTTGATTCACTCTTAGTTGACAGCCTTTCACATTTCATCTCTTTAATTTCACTCGTATTTCTTCTCTTTCCATCTTTCATACCTCTCGTCATTTTCCGTTTCCTTTCGTTCCTCTCTTTACCCAGAGACAGCTGAGTGGACAGCACTTTGGATTCGTAGTCCTGAGGTTCCGGGTTTGATCCCCAGTAGAGGCGGAGACAAATGGGCAAATTTTTTTTTCACCCTGATGGTCCTGTTCACCTAGTAATAAATAGGTACCTGGGAAGGGAACTATCAGGGAAAAGCGCCAAGCCAATAGACTATACAGCACTTGGAAGGGGTCAGAATAAGGATTTGGGATGTGACGGGGGAAAGTAATGGTGCCCAACCACTTGGACGGTCGGGGATTGAACGCCGACCTGCATGAAGCGAGACCTTCGCTCTACCGTCCAGTCCAAGTGGTTGGGCTAAGTGTCTGGGAGTAAGACAGCTGCTACGGGCTTGTGTAACAAAAAGGAGGCCTGGTCGAGGACAGGGCCGCGGAGACGTTAAGCCTCAAAATCATCTCAAGATATCTCAAGATAACCCCCTCATCTATATGTCCCTGTCATTCTGTTTCGCCTTATTCCCTTTCACTGACCCTCGCTTTCCTGCACTTCTCTCTCCCACTCTTTGTCTCCCCCATTCCTCCTTATCTCCCTTTCTTTCCTTCTTCTCCCTCTCCTCCGCTTCTCCCTATCTCTGCGGACCGTCTCAAGTCTATTAGGCTCCCGTCAATGGACAGAGGGTCACGAGGAACATTCCTGTAAATAAACAATTACTTTTCCTATTAAGACGGGCAGTTTGCGAGTCCGGTTGGCCAGAGGTTCCAATTATAACTCGTCGCCTTTTACATTGAAGCATCATTTACAGGGGGATCCTGAAGGTTCATTTATTGGGGATCCTGAAGCTTCACTTACATTGAATTCTGAAGCTTCATTTACAGTGGATTCTGAAACTTTATTTACAGTGGATTCAGAAGCTTCATTTACTAAGAGATTTGAAACTATCTACTGAATCCTGAAGTTTCAATTTCAGGCGGATCTTGAAGCATCATTTACAGGGTATCTTGAAGCATCATTTACAGGGTATCTTGAAGCATCATTTACAGGGGATCTTGAAGCATCATTTACAGGGTATCTTGAAGCATCATTTACAGGGGATCTTGAAGCATCATTTACAGGGGATCTTGAAGCATCATTTACAGGGGATCTTGAAGCATCATTTACATTTACATCATTTACAGGGGATCTTGAAGCATCATTTACAGGGGATCTTGAAGCATCCTTTACAGGGTATCTTGAAGCATCATTTACAGGGGATCTTGAAGCATCATTTACAGGGTATCTTGAAGCATCATTTACAGGTGATCTTGAAGCATCATTTACAGGGTATCTTGAAGCATCATTTACAGGGGGATCTTGAAGCATCATTTACAGGGGATCTTGAAGCATCATTTACAAGGAATCTTGAACCTCATTTACAGTGGTAAATCGATGTCACTTTTTCAGAGGAAGCTGGTCCTTTTCTTCATTGGGATCAGAACCTCTTATACAACAGGTTCAGATTACTTTGTAAATAAGAACCTAATCTTTCAATCGTGGTCCCACACAATCAACCGGAATCCATGCAATCAACTGAGGCCCACACAACCACTCAGAGCCCACACAATCAATCGTGGTCCCACACAATCTACCGAGAGCAACTCATAGAACTGGTTTCAAACAATTAACCGGCCTTTAGATCATAACTGGCTGGATGTTTAATTTGAATCTTCGTAGTTTTGGCAGAGTGCTACTTTACGAGGGGAGACTATAGGAAGCAGGGGAGAGGGGAGACTAAGAACGGGATGCAAGGGGAAATGGAAAACTATTTGTAGAGGGGAATCTATTGCATGAGTGTCTATGGGAGGGGGAACTATTAGAAGGGAAATTAAGGAAAGAAGGTAATAGGGAAGGTAAGAATTATTGGAAGTGGAGATATAGAAAAGAAAGACAAAGAGGAAAAAATAAGGAAGTCGGAAATAGGAATAGTTAAATAAACACATGAATAATTGAGTGTTTTATATCACGTATGTCAGACCAATATTTAAATAATGAAGCTCCAGCATGCAGCCCATATCTCGTTAAACACAAAGCTGAAGGAAGTCCAGATGTATATCATTATATTAATACCAGAGTCAAGAGGGATGAGTTGCGAGGTATAACTAAAAGAATTAAACTTCAGTAGAAGAGTCCGTGGAACCATGATTACTACATACAAAAAAGATTGATTCAGAATTAGAATAAAGGTAGATCTAACAGGTTACCTCTCTGTACTCAAGTCAAGTGAAGATGAATAATGTGTGCACTGATGTAAGTTCAGACAAGAATGAGGACACACGGAGCTAATTTCCAGAGAAAATAAGATAAACCTTTAGATATAGTTGGTGCCTAATTATTAACACATTGAGCTTCCTAAGCTTTTATACTACTTAAGACTTTTAAATAAAATTAATTTACGTAAAAGTATGCAAGGAAATTTATTTAGATAGGTAATTTATTAAAATCTAATTACGTTGGTTAATTAGATTTTAAATACAGAAATACAGTAAGATACAAGTACCATCTTTTGTGTGATGGTAGGAATCAAAGGTGATTCCTTATTCCCCTTTGTGGAATGAATTGCATTTAGACAACTAAAATGGAATTTTCAGACTTGCTAAAGTCTGCGTTTTAACAATGTAAAATTTGAAGGTTGTGTGGCAGATAATTTTCTATACATGACAGCTTCGTGAAACTGATGAAGAGGTTAGTGGATGCTAAAGAGACGAGATGAAGTGCCAGATTTTATCTAATTGTGGGTGATGTAGGGAATTTTATCCTGTTTTAAAATACTTTCTAAATACAATAATATTTACTTCCATGTCTTCAGTAGATTAGGTATATATTATTTTGTACTTGAAATAAAAAAAATTCCATCATCTATGAGTGCTGTCTTGCCTCATCATCAATTCATATATCAACTCATATCACTCCATAATCACTCACAAAGCCAAAGTGGTTGGGCCACTACCCTGTCCTCCCCACTCTCCACCCAACCTCCCAATCCTTCTTCATGTTTTCCCAAATCCTTCCCTTCCCTCTTCCATCCCCAGCTTGCCAGCTCTTTGGACATTTTCAAGTTCAAGATCTATCCCACAGTTCTCATTGGCTGAGACAGAGTGGAAAGATGGAGATCGGAGATACAACGGAAACAACGTGAACACTACAAGAGGAGGGAAGATTAAAGCAAACTGTCGTCTCAGAAGTTCCCCTAACCTAACACGAGAGGAAACTTCTAGAGAGAGGAGGACTGACTTTTATAATAGGCCCACCAGCACGCAAGACACGACTGGATACATTGAGCCCTTAGGCATCAGCTTGGAAAACAGTATCAACCAAATCTGGAGCACCCTAAGGCCCGACCAATGTAAGTAACAGCGGGAACCCAAAAAACTAAACTATCCCTCTCCTACAGGGACCTCCACCCAGTCAAGACGAAACGAAGTTTGGTGGGGCTGAAGGAGGTGATCCGCCACCTGAAGGAGGACCTCAAAAAGGAGACGGAGCGCAGACAAAATTGCAACCTGCCCCGAGAGGAGTGGGGAGCCTTGTCAACACTGAAGTCGAGAACGGACATAGTTATTAAACCCGCTGATAATGGAGGCGCCGTCGTCGTCTGGAGACAGAATAACTATACCCGGGAAATGGAACGACACCTGGCAGATACAGTGGTGTACCACTGGATCACAAACCAAGACGCTGCTCTGAAGAACGCCCAGACAAGGAGCAGGAATCCAGATCACAAGCTTTGTGAAAATAAAGTCCGAGACGGGAATAGTGGGCTCATGCAAGGAAGGGCAAGGGGACTTCTACATAGCCTTTTAGTCTACCACCAATGTAATCAACCAGGAGGCCTGGTCGACGACCGGGCCGCGGGGACACTAAGCCCCGGAAGCACCTCAAGGTAACCTCAAGGTAGGTAAGGTAACCATCCCACACCTTTGTCTTTTTCCAAAGATTCACAAACCACCAAACGAGATCACAGGAGCGTGGCAGGGGAGACCAATGCTGAGCGGCGTCAGGGCAGGTCTACACTAACCCCACCAGCTCCATAACTGGTGGATTTTAGCCCTCCGAGCTTGAAATCCACCATGAAGACCCCCCCCCCCCCCATCCATAGAATCAGCCATTGATACAGATAATGGCTCCAAAGAGCCTCCACTTACGGGCTTACCATAGCACGTGCTGCTTGGAACTTTTTGTTCTAAGTAGCTGAATCTAAAACGATAACAACAACGCTTTCTCCTGATAGTTCCATCTACCCGAACATACCACAGAGAGAGACAGCCAAAGTGGTAGCAATTTTCTTTGATGAAAACAGTCACAGAATTACACAACAACTACGATACGCAGGAGTATGGAGGACGCCTCTTAGATAGTTATTAGAAGTATCCTTACTCCATGTAATGAGGGACACACTGGAATTACATACTCCATGTAATAAGGGACACACTGGAATTACATACTCCATGTAATGAGGACACAATTTGATGGCAAGGCATATAGACAGACGAAGAGCACTGCTAAAGGAGCGTTCAGTAGTGTAGCTATTGCTGACATCTTTATGCATGTAGTATTTGAAAGGGACAGATCCCACAGAGAAGACGCCCAGCAGTGTACTGCAGATATATAGCCGATATCTTTGAAATCATGGTAGGCGGACTCCCATGTCTAGAGGGCTTCTTTGCTTGGGTGAACACAGACCACGGATACACAAAATTTACCCTAGAACACGACGACCCCATAATAAATTTCCTGGACACCTCGGTGTACGTGGACGAGACAACCCGACACCTGAACACAAAGGCGTATTACAATCCTACGAACCTTCACACATACCTGAAGTTTAGGACCATCTGCTAGCCCTAAAGAAACCATTACCCTTCTCACTAGGACTATGTCTTAAAAGAATAAACAGCAAGGATGAAACCCTCTACCCTAAGCTAGACGACCTGTGGGAGATGTTTATGCACAGAGGTTACTCTTAGGAAACGCTGAACCAACGGTTTACAACCCGTTCTCGCACTTGCTTATAGTCAATATTTTGCTTATGAATAAGTACAGATGCGATATACTAATTTATTGTGAATATTTGAGTTTACCTGAAAAGCTGAGGAGAAAACCAAGACCCTAACCTAACCTTCTTGGCATGTTAAGATAGGCATTTTCTTGCTTCGTAATTACAATTAGTACTTAACGTATACCTATATTGATATTACAGTTTTATAAAAATAATAAAACAAAACTAAAATATTTAAATAAATTGTAAAGTAGCTCAGGATAATGTCAAATTTTGTATAAAATTTCTATTGTTTAATAGAACTAAAAAGAAATTCCTAATATTTAAAACTTGTGTATAACCGATCAGGATGGGAGACATTTCCCGTCACGCAGGGTGCAGTCGCACCTCCACAGATCTCCAGTATCTGCTCTTAATACTGGTAATGGCTCAAAAGGGCCACCCCTTACGGGCTATTCATGCCCGTGCCACCTTTTGGGTGGCTTAATCTTTATCAATCAATCATCAGGAGGAAGAGTTAGTGCCTTTAAAAAAAATAAACCTTAGAATATACCACATATGTACTTATTCATAAGCCCAGAAATACCAGAGAAGAACTTCTCAGTTCCCCGGCTCCACGGTTGGAGAATAGGAGATGGATCCTCCCTATCCTGTTCTTTCCTAGTTTCGCGGGAAACTAAAACATAAACTCACAGACGTATGGACCTGGATGAGGGAGACATACAGTGATCACCCTTCAGGAGAGAATGTCCCGCAAAATCTACTAATGATTGCGTGGAGGCGAGGTAAGTCCATCAAGGAAAACCTCGTCCGAGCAGGTCTACAACCCGGCACCCACGACCCGACAAGCGAGGAGGACCATGCCGAAGAAACCCGTCGAAACCTACCAGAGCAGACCTAACCTGACACTGGAGCCTGTACAACACACCAAGGTAACCGAAGTATGTGGACTGGTTAGGATGGACCTACATGCAAACAACAAATCACGTTTTACTTTAACCTTTGTTTCAACATTTTTCACTACACAAAGTTGAACACTAATAGAATGTTCATTTTTCTGACTATCATTTATCATCGATACTTCATGCTCTTCTCTACTTTCTTCTATGGCCGTTCCATTCCCCATTTCACGTCCCGTTTCACCACCATCTTCACCCCGTCTACCCTCCATAGCTAACTTCACTAAAGCTCTAATTGTTCATAAGTATATTAAATAGTGCGGGGTTTAAGACCCCTCCTTGGGGGGTCCCGAGTTCCATATTTATTGTTCTGGAGACTGCTCCGTTGAAGCAGACCTTGACTTTCCTCCCTGTGAAATAGTCTTCAA